CTGCAATATTGGGACTGCTGGTGAGTCAACAGCGGGTCAGAGGAGGAGCCGCTGCGGGATGACAGAGATGACAGTTGCTCTTTAAAAATTATGATTTAAATCCAGTTGATTTAAATCCAGCCTCTTTACTAGTGAGTTAAATCATGATTGAAATCGACTTGATTTAAATCAAATCCACCCTGGAGGGAACGATATTCAGCCTGGGTTCCCTCCCTTCCTTGTGCTCTCCCTCCTTTTACCCTTCTCTGTGAGAAATTAACTTGCAGTTATGGAAAACATCACACTGTGTCTTGTTCCCCCTTCTGCCCCCAAGAAAATAAAATGTGGTGTTCAAACAAAGAATTTTGTCAACGCTGCCAGGGCCTGAGATCAAGGGGGAAGTTATTGCTACAGCTGTTTATCCTCTTGGAAGGGAGGAGATACAACTGAGCAAAAGTCCTTTTTGTGCCTCATTCAAAGGCTTTCCTCCCGCCCTCCCCTCCCCCGCCTGCTGGCTTGCGGGATTTCTAGAAGGAAGTCTCATTGTACTTCAGTTTGGGGTCAGGAAAGGGGGCTCTGCAGAGGGACAGTCCTGGCTTAACTGAAATGAATGGATTTGGTTACATTCCTGGGATCATCTGGAAGTAGCAAAAGGGGAGGAAAAAGGACTAAACAGTTTCCTCGTTGAGTCAGAGATCTTATACTACAGAGAGTCCTCAGACTTACAACCATCCATTTTTGTGACTGTTCAAAGTTACAACAGCAATGAAAAAAGCGATTTCTGAACATCCCAAAGGTGCTTTTTTTCAAGAGGTAACTGGACTTCCTGTTTTTTCTTTGAAGATGTTTCGCTTCTCATCCAAGAAGCTTCTTCAGCTCTGAATTCAGAGTTGAAGAAGCTTCTTGGATGAGAAGCGAAACATCTTCAAAGAAAAAAACCACCAGAAAGTCCAGTTGCCTTTTGGAAAAAAGCACCTTTGGGACAACCATGACCTGGATGACTGAGAATCGCCATAGACATTTAGTGATTTATGAACGTTTTTCACACTTCCTGTCATGGCAGCATCCTTGTGGTCACATGATCAAAATTTGAATACTTGGCAACTGGCTTGTATTTATGAGGTTTGCAGTGTCTCGGGGTCACGTGATCACCTTTTGTGACCTTCTGACAAGCAAAGTCCATGGGGAAGGCAGATTTCACTCAGCAACTTTGTTACTGCAGTGACTCACTTTAACAACCGTGACAAGAAAGGTTGTAAAATGGGGCAAAACGTACTTCACAACTGTCTTGCTTAGCAACAGAAATTTGCGGCTCAGTTGTGGTCATAAGTCAAGGCCTGCCTGTATCTTTGTAACCCAAACCTGATAAAGAAACCTCAGGTTGGTACAGTCAGAGGTCTTCCCTCTCAATCCAAAGTTCCTGAGTTCCATTCCAAAAGAAGGGACCTTCTTGACAAAGAAGACATTCAAAATGTCCTCCTGTCCTCTAGGACAGGGGTCTCCAATCTTGACAACTTTAAGACTTGTGGACTTCAACTCCCAGAATTCCTCGGCCAGCTTTGAACTCTGGAAGTTGAAGTCCACAAGTCTTAAAGTCGCCAAGGTTGGAGACCCCTGCTCTAGGATGGGACATTTTTTTTAAAAAAAATCAAATCATAAAACTTTCCAATCCGTGGTAACGTCAATCGGTCCGATCGATTGATCCATCTTCCCATTCTTGGAGAGCAGTTTGTGTTCGGCAAACGTTTGCTTTCTTCCTTTGGTGTCTACCTGATGAGAAAGCTCCCTTGCTGATGATGGGAAGGATGACAGCTCAGGGAAGACGACAGCCCAGCCTGGGAGCACCGAGGGCCATGTGTCTGTCTGTGTATGTGGTAGTAGACAAGCAGGCTCCCGAAATGCTAACTCTCTGAATGGAAGGCCTTCATTTGGTGCATATGCAATTAAGCAGCCTGAGAAGGAGGCAGTAAGTTGGACGGGAGGATAAAAGGAACCTTTAATCAAGAAGCTGAACGGTCTAATTCAGGATAATAGAGGGGTCCTTACTGTTTGACACAAGAGGGGAAGGGGTGCTTTTTTTGTCTGGGTGAGCCCTGGCTTCGTGATCTATGCTCCCAAGCCAAAGAAAGGGAGAGCGGGGACACTGCTGCGTGACCTTTCGGTGTCAAATATTGCCCGCTAAGCCAAGATTGCTCATTATGTAAGAGCGGCTAAGAAATATTGGCGCATGAATGCGGTAACCTCTCTGTGGCTTTGAAAGTGGGGATTCTGCATTGGTCTCTTGTTTCAGAAAGAGGCAGAGGCTTGAACGGTTTCCCAAGAGCAACAAAAAGGAAATGAAAAGTATTTGCACTATAATGAAAGATTCTAAACGGCAGGAGTGATGCTCTAAGGAACAGATTAATAATTGGTTTTGTTTTAGATTTTTGTTTTCCTTAAATCAAATGCTTGGCGAAGAAAAACTCTGCTCCTCCTGCCAATACCTATGAATGACTTCAAAGGGTGTTCCCCCCTTTTCTTTTTTAATTTACTGATCCATTCAAAGTACTTCTTTCTCTCTCTCTCCCTCCCTCTCTCTTTCTCTCTCACTTTCTCTCTCTCTTTTCTAAGAACTTTTTCTTAGCTGCTGTTCAATTGGCTGACCATGCACTTGTCTATCCAGGATTTTTCTTGGAGTCCAGGAGCTGGTTTGCTGCTGTAGGGAATTATTCTTGTGGGGGCTGCCCATTAAACAGAAGTGGACAAATAAAATTAGTCGTACTTGATTCACAAACGATAAATGGCAAGTCTGCAATTGATATTAATCAGAAAATTGAAGTCATTTCCTGATGGAAGGGCTGATTGATTCTTTGAGAATCAAGGTCCTAATGCAGTCACCTTGGAATTAAAAAAAAAAGTGTTATGTTAACTCTCCGCATAAGCAGGGAAAGGGATAATTCGGATATTGCTGGACTACAACTCCCAGCAATCCTTTCTCTTGATTGCATGGGCTGTTGGCCTTTGTTGTTTCAGCAACATCTGGGAAGATTCTGGCCTCTTCCCACCACGGTCCGCGGGCCGGATGCGTCACTCACTGGCCATGCCCACACCCAGTTTAGGAAAGGGGGGAAAGGTCGCGATATGTCACATGACGCCACCGTGATGCTGCAAGTTTGACACCCCTGCTGCAGTGCTTCATAACATGTGCCCTTCTGTTTATATTTCAATATAGAGGTATCCTAAATTAGCCTTCTCCAGCCTCCTGAGGTATGAAATTTAAATCTCAGATTGGATATGACTGAAAAAGTCTAGAGGTTGAGGCCCATAGATTTGGATGATGCCAAAATAAGAGAAGACTGTATTGGATCGTTTGTTCCAGACTTTGAGTCTGAGAAGGGACAATAAGCGCGATGGTGTTGTTTTGAAAGATCAGGGCATTTTAAAACCTGCAAAATGATAACTCTGCTTCAAGCTTTGTCAGCAGCTTCTGGGAGGGCTCGAGGGACTTGGTTGCCAGCTCACTGACAATTAGGTGATCCAGCACTCTGCTCTCATCCTTGCCAATGTCTCCAACACATGGGGGTGACCAGCCATGCTCTGGTTCACAAGCTTTATTCTGATTTGCACATTACACCACACATCAAAGATAATTTTACTAGGCGCAGGACAAAGTAGACCATCAATCAGTGCCATAATCGTTTTAGTGGATGAAATTTGGATAATGCGAACAGCTATTTATGGTGTAGTTATCCACCAGTGCCTCCAGAAGCTTTCAGCAGCATTAATGGCCCATGGATATTTGCAATGGCTTTGCATTACAATTAGCACAAGACTCGTGGAGTACTCAAGAGAGACCTCCTGGTCACTATAATCCAGGAGCGGGCCATTAATTTTCCAAAGGGACCACATGAGAAACTAGGATTCTTGTGTAGGGCCAAACCAATAGGGCTGTGAAGATGCGTAGGCACAATCACATGCACATAGTAAATTTTTTAAAAAAATAACGATCAACTTCAAAATAAAACCAGTGCAGTTGTATTGCATGCATGGTGTATACTTACTTAATTTCTTAGCTGATTTTTTATTTCTTATTAACTTCACATGGCTGGACAGGGACAATCAAAGGGCCGGATGTGGTCTGAGAGCTATAAAATGCCCAGGTCTGCTATAATGTATGCTTTTAAACATTGGCCTTTGGAGCAGAGGTGGGATTCATTTACCTTCGCTACCAGTTTGCATATGTGAGTGCGCGCTCACCACCTCCGCACAAGCGCAGAACCTTCCGTGCATGCGCAGAGCGTCAAAAACGGAACGTGATGACGCCCGGGCGGGTGGGCGGAGCCTTCCACAGCAGCCGCTACTGATTGGCTTAAACCGGATAGAACTAGCTAAATACCACCACTGCTTTGCAGTAAACTATATGCTTAAAGTTGTAACTAAGACATTACCATTAGAAGTAATATTTATTTTAAATTTTTTGGTATGCCAAAAGCAATCACAAGCAATTACTAAGATACTGTATCATCACCTCTATTGGTTCAAATTCCTTTGAATGTAGAAGACAAAAAAGTAATACTTGATGATGGGTTAACAGCTATTTATTTAGTAATTCATTTATTTGATTTAATTTGGACACTGCACGACTCAGCTGACCTTGGGCAGCTCAAAATATATTACCATAAAGATCCAATACAAACCAAAACAAGCCAAGATCCAGTCACTTATATTCAGACAAAAACAAACCTAACAATGGACTATATTCATATGCCATTAAATATCACCAGCTTGGAGGAATTTGTTTAATTTGCTTTGATTTAGCTGCCTGGTCTAATCACAAATACACAGGATACCAAACTAGATCATGGTTTTGTTTTTGTTTCTTGATTTTCTCTATCTGGAAATATATGAATTTGGAAGTTGGAAACTGAATTGCCTTTCGGAATCCAGATATGGAATGTTGCGTGTTTTTGCTGCAATGAAAAATATATTGATTCCAAAATACACTCCACTGATTTTGCATATGTTGGTCTTACTGATTTCAGGTATTACTTCAAAAAAGCAAGCGATGAGTTTGACTGTGGGGCGGTCTTCGAAGAAATCTGGGACGATGATGCCATTCTGCCAATGTACGAAGGCAGAATTCTCGGAAAAGTTGAGAGGATTGATTGACTGGTTCTGATTGACTGGTTCTGAGTGGCATAGTCTATGTGAGCATATTTAAGAAGATATAAGCTATGGATGCTGGCCTTTGGACGTAAAACCACCAAGCAAAATTTTTGAAGGAAGGTTTGAACCCATGAAGAAGCAACAAAAAAAACAAATAAACAAACTGAGGTCTATGTAGACTTTGCCAAATCAGCCTTAGCAAAAAAAGGAAGAAAAATAAGATGTGTCTATTGAGCTGGATGCCAAGATGTTACAACTCTGAACTATTTATTAAAAATATGGTCGCTCTAGGTGATTTGAAGATACAGATGATGTTCTGAGAGACTTGCATATAGAAATATATGGCTTCCTAACGATCCTGTACTTAATGATTTAGAAACTGTGTATAGCTTACCTTATAATAATCCTTATTGATATTTATTGAACATTCTAGGGTTTTTTTCCTTTAAATCCATTTTATGGATATGCTGCTTTAAAAGACGGAGAAAAGAGGGGATGTGATGTAAAGAAAAAGGGGTGTTTTATATTTTATTTTTTACATTATTTCCACGATCTAAATAAATGTGTCCTTTACTGAAATGAGCATTTGTTTCTGCCACCTTAGAAGACCAACTGGAATTGTACGACCTTCAGTGGTTTTATTTCTTTGGAAAGGGATGAGAAAGGAAAAGATAAGACCTTTCTACAGAGAAGGATATTTTGATCAATTTTTGTGCAGGGAAAACATTCCCAATTGCCTAAAACAATCTCTAGGACAGTGGTTCTCAACCTGGGGTCCACAGATCCCTGGAGGGCTACAAAGTCATCACAGGGAGCTTTGTGAAGGCTCAGAGGAATGTTATGATTTAAAACTTGAGTTTTAAAGTCTCGGTGGTCCATGGCCACAAAAGGTGTCCTTGGTGGTGAAAAGATTGAGAACCACTGCTCTAGGAGATCAGGAGCACTTTGTAGATCTTCACGCTCTTTCCCTCACCATCTTTTCCCCATTCCTATTTTGGATTTAATCATGCTGCAGAGTAACCATTCCCTCCTCCGAGACTACCAAAATTTCCATAATTCCAGAAGCCAACATAGCAAAAGAGCTGGCGGTTTGGAAACTTTAGAAACTGGAGTCCCAATGTAATTGGCGATCACCTGATTGGACAATTTGAATTCTAATAGAATTTGAAGCCCACCATGATTCTAATGGGAGGCACTATGGGAAAGGTACTATTGCTTTTGGGATGAGTCCCAAAAAAAGGAAAATGGGAAAACTGGATTCCAAAGGGTGGCAGTAAAATAAATATAAAGATTGTGTGCAGGAGAGGGGACAGACTGCAGGTGTCCACAGTACATCTGATTGCCTAATTACATACTGTGGGCTGGAGAAATTGTACACACTCCAGTGCTAAGAGTGTTCTGATGGAGTAACTATAACAACAGTAATTAAAAAACTGTAGGTAATAATAACAAGGTTGGGACCTTGTCAGTTATCCTTGGTATCAATAGGCACCGGCATAGCTTTCTTTTTTGATATTGTTTCTGATGCCTGCTTCAGTCCCTAAGAACTCCCAGATCAGAACCACGGAAGGAGAAGACAGTAAATGAAATCACCCAATTTACACCTCTATAGCTAACAGTAAGATAGTCACCAAATTTGGACTGTGCTTTTTATAACAACAACAACAACAATTACTCTTTCAGGGCACTTTCAGCATTACAGCTATAGTGAAAAAGCCAGACTGTGCAATGGGATGCCCATCTTAACTGTAACTACCACTCAAGGGTATGGAAACTATGAAATTGGTGCCTCGTAGCAACTCTGGACAGCTTGAAGTTCCTGCAGGGTTAAAATATAATTGTGGATGCACCATCATTATGATGGTAGTTGTTCCCCAGAAATATTACAAAAACCAATAAATTGGTGGGTGGTAACCTTCCAGGTTTTATCCTTTTGGATATCTCAGCATCTTTCAGTTGCTTCCTGGACCATGAATGGTGGATAAGCTAGCTGGCTTCTGAGACTATGTCCGGAAGAGCTGTTTCAAAGCAAGCTGCCACAGTATGTATGTGTTGTGTATGTATGTCTTGGATGTTGGCTGAAATATGCAGAACAATTCTCCTCTATCTTGATTGTATGCACTGGAACAAAGAAACGCCGTCTCCTAACTTAGAAATACATTTAACTTCAACTTTGTGTGTTTGTTTGTGTGTGTGTGTGTGTGTGTGTGTGTTTAATATGTGCATTTTCTGACAATGTTACATTTTGTTTGTACAATATGATGTATATAATGTAAAAAACGGGATGGGGAAAATACTGTTAATAGAGGCTCTCTAGTGTGTGTGTTTTTTAAGGAAAAAAACCACACTTCAATCAGTACAGTACCTGTGCCTGCATGGTATTAATATGCCATGTTTTGCCCTGTGTTCAGGGTCCATACTCTCCCTTTGTTGTTTAAGGGGTTTATGTATAGTATATTTTATGCCTTTTTACTACAATTCTTGTACTTTATGACTTTTGCCATGATGTTTGTTCTACTTAAACTGTAAATTATGCATTATAAAGAGTTTCATTTAAAGAAAAAAAATACTTGGTACAATAATTATTGTAATTAAGAGATGTAGCCTTTATTAAAATTTTTTATATTTTTCAAATTAATAAAACCTATTTGTTCTGGTTTCTTCTTGGGGTATGAGGGGGGGCGGCGGTAGACTCACTTCAGATTCTAAAGAGATTTTTCTAGAAACTCTAATGTCAACAAAAATGAAATTCTGTGAAGGTATAAACTGCAAATGAATGTATTAACTTTATGGACAGCTGGAAGCAGTTATCAGGGTGAAAATAAATGTACAAGTGCCTTAATGTGACTGAAATCATGGGGAATCAGATCATTTTGCCCGCTCATGCATTTAAGCTTGAAACCCAAGATGTTTAAAAATAGAGATTGATTTAAATATCTTAAAGTAAGTCTTTAAGATATTTAAATCGACCTCTATTCTTAAACATCTTGGAATAGTTAAGAATCGAAGTATTCCCAGGAAACATTAGGTCTAAAGCTTCATGGAACCTATATATTCTAGATCTGAAGAGAATGATCAGGTATATTGATAGGATTTGCTATTTTCCTTAGTGATAATAGTTTTTTACCAATTGATTAGCTGCACAAATTGGCTCTGATTCTGGAAGCAGGACTTGGGATAAATGTTAGGGTCAGCCTGTAAATGGCTATAGGCAGATCTAGGAAGAGCTACAGGAAGCCTTGGTAAGCATATGTTGAGCATAATAGAAAGTTTGGCCCAGCAAGCCAGGATACTCTGTCTTGTGTCCCCATTCTGCCCTTAAAACAAACCAAGTCTCCCCAAAGCAAATTACCAAATATTCGCGGGCCATTTTGTTGATGTTGTCCCCCCAGTTCAGCTCTATAAACTAGGGGTCCTTGAAGAGCTATAAATAGGATGCTGGTGGGGAACTGAGGTGGCCTATGGGCCTATATGGGTCATTTCCCCATTCAGGATAAATGGAACTTGTGAAACACTGCAGGGCTGGTGTCTGACTTGATAAATGGAACTTGTTTTGTTCCTAAGTTGAGAATGACACTCTGGTACTGTCCCCCTCAGCACACAATGCTGGGAAGAGGATGTCCTGGGGTGCTTACACCAGTCATGTACTTGAACGCTGGGCCTGAAGCAGGACTGTGAGGCTACCTTCCCAACCATTGTTAGCCCTTTCAACATAAACCCTGTATTCAGTTCCCTTGCTGTTAATTTTGTGGCTCGTCTGGGCCCGTCAGCTGGTGTTCCAACATGACTTTGGCCATGTATTTGCCATCTGTCACTTAAGGCCGCTATCCCTGGGTGGCCAGCCTTGACAGTGCCAATCTAGACCATTTGTTTGACTCAGATGCGTGTCGCTTTGTGTGATTCCCAAGGCGGCCTTGGGCACTTCCTCCCTCATCCATCTCCCCATTGCATTTATTATTTTCCACACGAGACAAGACTTCAGTCCTACCTTGAGGAAAAAACACACCACACTGAGCACCTAAGATGGAGGCCCATGTTGTAAATTAAAATAAAGCTGCAAATGGTTCCCCGCATTTAAATAGACTGCTGTCTTTATTAAACCACCGTCTCAACTTAGTGAGGTCACCTTAATTGATGAGCCGGACATAACAGATGGATACACAGAGTTAAACCACATGGGTGAAGAAAGTGATTCCCCTCCCCCCTCTCTATTCCACCATCAAAGGTTAGGAACTTAGTCCTGCACAGTAGTATTTTTTCTTCTTCTGCTATTAAAATGAAATCACACTGAGTTTAATTCTTCTTGGGAAGATGAATGCGTCGGAGTCAGTTTGAAGTCATTCACTGGCATATAAGCTTTTGCATCTTTATATATCAGTGCTCCCAAATACTTGCCTTCCCCCCTTTTGTCTTTCCCTTTTCTTTCCTTTCCTTTCTTTCTTCCCCCCAGGGGTCTGTAGAAACAAAAAATAAAATGTCTTCAAATACATAGCAGGCTGTTTAGTGGAGATAAAAGGGTGTTTGAATAGTCCTTTAAAAATGAATGGGAAGTGAACACTCTTATGTTTGGAGTATAAGTAGGATGTGATGAGCATTCAACATCACCTTAATCTGTCAGTTTCTGGGTATATTGCATTAACTCTGCTATTTAAGAAGCGTGGGACCTCATCCTGCACTCTGGAGGTAGCAAAACAATGCGACTGAACTAAAATGGTCTCATGCCCTTTTCAACTATTGACATATGTGGAATGGATGGGGAAGTTCCAGGCTAGTTTGTGAAGCTCCTGGCCTAACTGGAGTATCTTTTCCAAGGTTTTTAAAATGCTAAAGGATAAAACTTTGTTTTTGCTCCACTGGAAAAAAAAAATAGAAAGCAAAATATTAACCTAGAGAACATAGTGATCCCGTTGCGAACTGGTAGTAAAGGTAAGTAGAACCAGTGATGGGTTGCCCTTGGTTCACACCGGTTCTATAGAACTGGTAGTAAAACTGGCGGGAGGCTCCACCCACCGACCCCGACATCATCAAAATGCTTCTGCGCATGTGCAAAAGAGCTTGCGCACGGCCCCGCTGTGAACCGGTAGTAAAGGTAAGTAGAACCCACCCCTGAGTAGAACCCACCCCTGGTTGCAACCAATCACAAACTCCCAATTACCAAAGATGCAACAATCTGAGCTGCTTCCCACCACCATCTCTGGCATCTCCAGGGTGATATCTACCACTTGAACTGTTAGCATTTGTCTGTGGAAGTAGTGAAACAAACAAAGCCTTACATTGTTATAATGCATAGTTTTTATTTTCTGGAACTGGAACTGATCATGCAAATAAAAACCTTTGCAACTGCTACTTTGCATTCTGTGAGTATATTTTTTTTCTAAGATGATGTTTAAAATTACATAGGGCAAAAAACCATAGGTATCTATGGGGGTGTGTGTGTGCTGCAGTGGGGCAAAGGATTCAGTCTATGTTGGTGTGATGCCCTGTTGCAAATCCAGTGATTTATGTATTAGCACCTGACACCTGAATATTTATACTTGAGTACCAGAGTTTGCACCATGATGCTATGATGTCTGTCTTATCATTTTCTTGGGCACCCCAGTTAGGAGTGTGTGCTAATGACAAGGAAAGTGATAGGCAGAGACAGGGCCCATAGACCTTACATTGTCTTCTCCTGATGAAAAGTGAGCCTGTGGAGGAAACTAAGGATAATGTTAAAGGAGAGTTAAGGCAATTCCTAGGGTCACTACTTTTATCCTCTCAGGCCTTTAGGATCACCCTTGAATCACCCCATGAGTCTCCTCACCACAACTGTCTTGGAACTGGTGAATTAATTCCTGTTCCTTACAGCTGGCCAACCCCAAAAATCAGCACTCTGGCCAGTGCCATTCCTCCCTGCTTGTCTTCTTGCCCCCTTTATGGTCAACTCTCTTGACTTCCAGTAATTGAGCTTGCCACATGTACCTTCAGCTTCCATGCAGGTGGAGGGGTCTGATTCCTGCTGCCTTTGCTGTGGCTGTTAATTGTTGTACCAGGAATCTACAACATGTGCTATCCAAAGTGATAAGACTGCTTAGGCCCTCTTGGCTTATTACTGATTTTGCAGGGATAATTCCCTCACTTGGGTGTTTAATGCCATTTAAGGCTTTGTCACAGGCTGAGATGCTTCAGTGTCTGGAACTCCTCTTCTTATTTACAGAGTCAGGCTTTCTTCTAAGCTCATACTGCTGGGGTCCCTTCTAAGAGAACAATGTTGTATCTGCAGGTCTCCAATCCATAGAATCTGCTAAGAATGAGTAGAGCTGGCTGCAGTATGGTTAAAAACCTTGCCATAAGGAGTTTGAGCAAATCCTAAGGAAAGGCTGATGGGACTGAACTAGCTCTACTCCCTTGCTTGATTTGAAAGGACATTTGATGGACATGAAGTCTCCTACCTATAAGTAGTTCAAGAAAGTAGTTTTGCTAAAAGCCCTGATCTGAATCTGGATTGAAGCTAATTTGGCTGGTTCTGCTGAAAGAGTAGAGTAGAGTAGAGTAGAGTAGAGTAGAGTAGAGTAGAGTAGAATAAACTTTATTGTCACTTTGAATGTACACTAATCAGCATACATTAAAATGAAATTTCATTGCATACAGCTCTCAAAGGGTCACCACCTCCAATATACACTACATAAACATGACAAAATAAACAAACAAATAAATAAATACACAATTATGGATGACTCCTTTTTAAATCTGTGATTGATCCAAATCTGATACATCTCCTTAGAAAGCACCTGTGGCAACTCATCTTGGCTAGATGGAGCTACTTGCTGCTACTAATAGGGGAATGACCCCTCATTTATTAATGTTTAAATTTCCAACATAAACTACAAAAAAGAAATCATGGCAAAAGAAAGCCTGAAATTATTGATGTTTTCTCCCAAACATCCTGGCACAACAAAGGAATTGGGCTTCACCTAGAAATGGGAGGGAACCAGGGGTGAAATCCAGCAGGTCCTGACAGGTTCTGGAGAACTGGTAGAGGAAATTTTGAGTAGTTCAGAGAACTGGCAAATATCACCTCTGGCTGGCCTCAGAGTGGGGTGGGAATGGAGGTTTTGCAATATCCTTCCCCCAGGAGTGGGGAGGGAATGGAGATTTTGCAGTATCCTTCCCCTGGAATGGGGTGGGAATGGAGATTTTTCAGTATCCTTCCCCTGCCACGCCTACCAAGCCACACCATGCCCACCAAGCCATGCCCACAGAACCAGTAGTAAAAAACATTGGATTTCACCACTGGAGGAAACAGCTGTAAATTGGGCATAAATGGCAAAAAAATGGAGCAAGTAACTAAATTGTTGTGTCTTGGTAGAATGTTTAGTAAGAACGAGGAAGTGGTTGGAGAAATTTTAGCATGGGCAAGTGCTAGCAGAAAGGGGGCCAGTAGTAAATATATGTATTTAACAAGTTTCAGTTTCAGTTTCAGTTTATTTGATTTGTATACCGCCCTACTCCCGAAGGACTCAGGGCGGTGAACAGCCAAGCAATAAAATATATAAATACACAAAATTTAAAACCAGATAAAATCAAATTAAATCATTTTGGCCCAGACAGATTAAAACACCCCAATAATTTAAAAACAGATAAAAATTTACATATTAAAAGAG